TACCTTCTTGACCCCTACACCCAATGCCAACAGTCCCTCATGTGCTGCTCAGCCACCTGAACAGCGAATCAGGTACCAGGAGATCAACCAGCAATTTAAGCCGCACCTTTAGCCTGCCATCTCCACTTCCCATGCTTTCTGTCTTATTGTCTGTTTGTCCCAATAACATATACATACAAATGTCTTTGTGTCTCTGCAACACTGCGTGTCAAGCATGGTAAATGGACATATCTTCAGTGTTTTAATATGATTATAAGCTGTCTGAGAGAATGTTTGTGCACACTATCCACTATCTGCAGATATGTCTTGTCTTCTTTTATTTATACCTAAACATGTCTTTACTCTGCATGCCTCATTTTGCATCGTCTGAAGTCGAATATTCATTTTGCTGCAACAGTAAAAATGAATTTGAGCTTGATCCTGGCCCTTGGATTTTCGTGGGAGAATAATGACTGCTCTGTCTGATAGGGTGGTTTTAGAGATTTAATTGTTGGAGGAATGATTTACTGAGTGCTGCAGGAATGGCTTCAAAAGTGTTAAATTTTTGGCATTGAGTCTTCCTAAAGTCAGTGGGTATTTTGGATTTTTTTTTTTTTTTTTTTGTTAAAAAGCTTCTATTGTTAGTAGTAGTAGTAGTAGTAGTAGTAGTAGTAGAAGTAGCTGTAGTAGTATTAATGATTACAAAATCAAGTTCAAAGCTGACTATGGAATTCAGCTCAAAATATTTGAGATATTATCTCTTTTTTAGGCTTAAATAATAACCCACTATTTTGCATACTAAGTTTGCATGCACTGGAAGTGGCTGAGACTTTTCAGTATGTACTTCCAACTGAAAGGGGGTTGGATGCATCATTCTTTTCTATGCATCATTCCCTCCCAGCGAACTAGCAGTAAAAGAGGCGTGGTTAAGAATATTGTTGAATACCTTTAAACTGACCTCAACAGAGAGGGAACCGCCACTTCAAACGTAAAGCAAATGGTCAGATTTTGATTGAAGATTACCAAAACAAAGCTTCCAGTGGAGGTATTTGGGTCGTTTAATTGTTCACCTGACGAATAACAATGTACGATTGCAAAATAAATTCTGCAGTTTTGATTTCACACAGACTGTAAATCAGGTGTTGAACGACTTTAGATTTTTGGAAGTGGACTATGTTATCAAAGTTGAGTCGACGTCAACTAGTCGCTGGGGATGTCATTGAAAACACAAGAGGCAAATGTTTCACAACATGCCACAATTTGTGATTTATTTGCAGGAAATATATACACACCAGTTGGTTGACAGTTTATAACACGTTGCTAAAACAATGCAACATTACCTATGACTAGTTTTAGTGCAAAACAAATACATTCAACACTTTTATTTTGCTAATAATGCAACATTAGCACCTGGGCTAATTTTACTGCTAAATAAATGCAGTCAACACATTTATCACTGCAGGTTAGTGAGAATGTAACAATAAAAGATATTTAAGTGCAGAAGTGATGTATACACCATCAGCACACAGATTCATGTCAAGTTATTTTATAACATAACCCACAAAAGACAAAGCCATAACGTTAAGCCTTATTACACTGTCAGATACTTGCTCAGACACATATTTTACGGCTGTGATGTGCGCGCTAGAAAGCTGCTCAAAATTGTGTTTTTGACATTTCGCTGCCCATCTTGGTTATTAGACGTCTCCTCGCTGCACATCTTCACTGCGTTCACCAGAGATAATGTTTACACACACCTTCACACTTCACGGTTTCTTCACACTTAATGGTTCATTCACAAAATATGTCAAAACTTATGCTTCGCAGAGGACAACAGCCAATCTTATGACTGTTTAATGATTTAAAGTTCACTTAAAATTTCCATGAGATTTTGACACTGACATAAGGAAATAATAATAATAATAATAATAATAACATTTTTAAGATTACTTTCAATAATCCGAGGGCAGTTTCATTCTGTGAACTATCATCGTATGTAAAGCTGTATGTAGTTCAGGTCAAGCAATGTGATCTGCGTAGCACAACTAGAGCATTAAAGTCAACTAGTTAAAGAACCCCTACTGTAAATACCAACAACAAGCAAACATCTCTATAGATTTTAGTGCTTTTTCAATTTAATTATTAATTTAAATACAGTTTGAACAATGGTCAACCATCAAATACACCCATTGTTATGTCAAAGCACACACACACACACACACACACACACACACAAACAATATCACACAATGTTGGTTCTGTGTGCTAATGTGAACAGTTTGTATGTGTATCATGAGTATATTTGACCGGTCTCTCGACATAAAGACCACACACTACTAAGATAAAAACCAGGCAGTCGTTGGAAGCTGTTGGATGTCATTCAATTTTAGTTCAGTTACTTTATAGGCTTTAAAATTGATTATGATTTCTAATGTCATATTGATGGACAAAATGTTCAATAATTCAAGAATCCAACTTTTGTTGGTAATTTTTTATAAACCATTACTGCAGCACTCTCTTTAGACCCAGACATTTATTAGGGTGTTTAGATTCTCATCCCTATTTACACACTATTCATCCTGGGAGAATTTTTTCTGTAACGCATTGAAGTATTTGCTGGTTCTTCGCATTGAAGTTTTTGAATAAAGTAACATTTCTTTACAGTGTATATGCAAAACATCAATGCTATTTCATAAGCTGAAATGTCTCAGAGTCGCTGATATTTTAGCTGGTGAATAAAAAACATAAAGCATGACCCAAATAGCCCAATTCCCACATGCAAATGACTCTTGTGAGCTTGTTAGTTTAATATAGTTCGGGATACCACAAGTTATTTATTTAAATATGAATCAGTCTGAATTGCTGCAACAGTGAAATTATTTTAACATTGTATAAACATAAATTTAGTATACCTGATAAATGATATATATTCAGTTCACTTTCTTTCTGCAAATCTGTACGTGGTGCATACACTATAGATGTATATAGATTAGGATTTAGCTGACCGTTCTGTCATTAAAGGAATAATTCACCCAAAAATAAAAATTGAATATAATTCATTCAACACAATGCGGTTTTATTGCCATATGCCCTGCTTTTTTATATCGTAAGATGCATCATAAAAAGAAAGCATTTCTGTACTCTTTTGGCAGCGAATATCAATCAGCATTGAATAATTTATAAAGAACAAAAATAACACTGAATAGTCCCGTGTGAAGTGTTTTATATTTCAGTTGTTTGGGGGATATATAATGGCCTTAAATGTAAAACTATAATGTTTTATTTAACAAAAATGGTGACCTTGACCAGAAGTCTTCATGCACGACTGCTTTCACAAAACACTAATTATATACTCTGCCGGTCAGAAGTTTGGAGTCAGTTATTTTTCATATATATATATATATATATATATATATATATATATATAATTTGTTTATTTATTATTTTTAGAAAATTATTCTGTTCATCAAGGTGGCATTTAATAAATATAATTAAATGTAAAATGTGTTAAATTGTCAAATATTTATTTCAATTTTAAATAACTGCTTTCTTATTGTATGTAGTTTCAAATTATGTTTTTAATCCAGTCTTTATTGCTTTTATCACTATTACCTATATTATTAATGATAAAAATAATAATCATTAATATAGTGATATCTTTGGAGGATAATGTGACTCTGAAGACTGGAGTAATGAAGCTGAAAATTCATCTTTAAAATCACTGGAGAAAATGATTAAATTAAATGATAAACAACTTTTAAACAGTTATTTTATGGTGCAATAACATTCCACAACAAGTTTTACTGTATTTTTGATTACATAAATGCAGCCTTGGTGAGCAGGATAGGCTTATTTTTAAAACATTTTAAAAATCCTACTAACCCCAAAGTTTTGACCGGTTGTGTATTTAGAATTGTAGTATTTTGTTCTGAGGTAAATGTTTCTGTTGTGTTTCACCCTCACTCGTCAACCGGCATTCTGACTTTTGTGAAAACCAGTGTTGGTACAGAAATATTAGATTAAATTTAGATTAAATTAAATCTAATAAAAAGTAACTGGTGTTCAATTTTGTGTTGCCTTTGTTTGAAAATGAATTGAAAAATAAGTTGTGTTTTTTATTCCACTACTACACTGACGGTGATTGCTAAATTCACTGTTTGATTAGATTGATTACACAAGCTGAATTCACTGTTTAAATGGGCTAGTAGCACACTGAGTGCATCTGTTGATTTCAAGGGATCTTAAAGGAATAGTTCACCCCAAAAATTAAAATTTACTATTTACTTTGGTTCCAAACCTTTATGAGTTTCTGTTTTTTTTCTTCTTTTTTTTTCTTTTTTTTGACCCATTGGAATATATTTTGAACAAAGCTAAAATCTGTACCCATTGACTTCAATAGGGAAAACAAATACTATGGATGTCAATGGTTGAAGGTTTCTTCAAAATATCTTATTTGCTTTTCAACGGAAGAAAGAAACTCCATAATGGTGTGTGAAAGGTAAATAATGACAGAATTAATATTTTTGGGTGATCTTTCTCTTTAAGAGTTTCATGAATATATAGTGCAAACACTATCATCTACCTAAAGAACACTTGAAATATTTGAAGTGTCACTTAGTATAGCATTGTTTTATACTTTTGCATCTTAAAAAAAGCTGGTCACTATTCAGTACTATTATACGGGATATTTCAAAGGGATATTTGAAAGTACTATACGGGATATTTGAAAGAGCAAATGGCATGAAAAAAAGCATCAGGGTTCATAAATAATGATTAAATTTCATTTTTGGGTGAACTATCCCTTTAACCTTACGTTGTCATTGTCCAGTTGATCAGTCAGCACTCTGAGGAAATTCATTATTCTCCCCTTCCTGGATCTCCCAAAGTGTGGATCTGAATGCTGAGAGTGCAGAACTGAAGCACTCAGGATCCTCCAACAGTCATACCTCAGTCAAAAGCAGCACCATCAAGCCAAAACATGCATTCACACCTCCATTGGGTTTCTTTCTTCTCTCCCTCAGTGCCCACTGCCAGCATGACCCGATTGGCACGCTCTCGCACTCACTCTGCCTCCAGCATGGGCTCAGGGGATGGTTCGCGCAGCCGCACACAGACCAGTTCACAGATGGAGGGCGCCACTGGCGGCCCCGCCCTCGACAACCAGAACAGAACCATGGAGGTGTCCTGCTAAATCTCCCAGAACCAAGCCCCCATTTTATTTGGGATCATTGGTGTGTGTGTGACCCTTTTTTGTTCCCCCCCACTCTGTCGTCTCGTTCTCTCGTGGCCAGAGAGTGCTGGTCTGATGAAGGGATGCATTGTTTGATGTCTAGTAATCCATGTATTTAACATGTTGGAATATTTCTCCACTGCATGGACGCACACTAATCTTCTGTTGATGTTTTTAATCTTGATTGGCTTTCTACTTTCTTACTCCATTCTTTTATAAACACTCCCCGATACGCTTGTCGTGTATATTTTTTGGTGGCGGCTGCTGTATATTGAACATTCAGAGGGTATTCTCGTGTGTAGCGGGAGAGTTTTTGTTCCCTCTCTTGCTCTATCTAAGGTCTTCCTGCCCCTTGTGTTTACTAGAGACGACCAAACCACTTCAATTCCTTCCCGTCATCGAATGTTTCTTTCACTGCTTCGTTTTCTGTGCATTTGAAATGGTTTCTACTGCTCTTGCTGGATGGCAGCAGCTGGTTGGATTTGATTTGTAATTGAATTCAATCAGTTGTAGTGTTTCCAGAGCAGAGCTACTGATTAGCATGTCTCGGTTTAAAGTGTACTATAAACATTTGTGTTAGTATTAATTGTTTAAACCTTTCTGCAAATGGTTTACATGGAGAACTGTATTGAGGTTTTGACCTGAAGTCAAAACTTATTAAACCCCTTATTAGGAAAATCTTTCTTTTAGGTTTGCACTAAATAATTTTCACAACCTATTATTGGGAAATATCTGCTACACCAAAACAAGCCTTTAGCTGAAGTGAAGTAGTAATATTTACCATCTCTAGATGTAAGTCAGCACGATTTTGGCTTGACGTTCTCCATTATTTCTGTACAGCGAGCTGATATTCAATTCACCTCATTATTTCGTCAACTCTGTTCGTTTTTATTGTTTTTCTTTTGATTTCATTGGATGGCAATTCCCTGTTAATTGCTGATTGTACCGTTGCCTTGAGTGAGTTTGTGATGATGCGTTGTGGTTTGTCCTCCAAGCATTTAGGGGGCGTTGTACTGCATACTGTCTGCTGAATATATATTGATTTGTACGAAATATTGAAATAAAGTAGTTGTACAAAAAACTTAAGTGTGTCTGAGATGTCATTGTTATCATTTTACAATTGCTAATACAGTGTCTAACTATATGCCATACGACATGTGCTAACAAGTGTTTTTCCTAACCGTCTGTGACAGAGATGATTGTAGAAACCATTTCTATTTCCGCAACATCGCACCAAAACAGCACCATAAACCAGTATTTCTCAACCACATTCCTGGAGGATCACCAGCTTTGCATGTTTTGGATGTCTCCTTTGTCTTTTACACCCATTACAGGTCTTCTTGTCTCTACTAATGAGCTTATGGTCTGAATCAGGTGTGTTTTTTAGGTGTGCAAGAATCTGAATCAGGTGTGCAATTTAATAACGCACGCCAAATGGAAAGAAAAAAAAAACTTTGCGGTGTGCGTGTGCGGACCTTTACTTGACAGCTGCATATGTGGAAATTGTCAGAAAAAATGCAGAAAAGTTCTACATGATTGTTTTTATTGATCGCGGTGTTTACTTAATTAATGCCTCTAATACATGCATACTCAACGTCTTAATTTCATTTCAGTTTAGTTCAGTTATGACTTTAGTCGGATATATATATAGGCTAGGCTATAGGCTATATATGAAGGACAACAATTTTATAAAGAAACTTATATTAAGTAATCACTGACTGACATAAAGAAGTAAGAATGACTTTAACACTGTAAACCCTGAGTGGAATAATCAGGAGATGGATCAGGGCAGAGCAGTAGCCTCACTAGAATATACTAATAAAACATTATTTTCTGGGTTAAACTAAAATTGCTTCAGCAACCATATGTCAACAAATTGTAAAATACACACACTTTACATTTGTTGTTGTCTTAAGCTTTTATTTTATTACCAAAACAAATGTATTTTTTCAACCCTCCCTCCTCTTCCAAATTCAAGATACAATTAAAAGATATGATAAAAATGTAATCAATTCATTTATAAATAAAGTATAATGAATAAACTAAGTAAATTATTTGGTAATTCAAGCATTTTATATATGCACACAATCCATACACAGCCATACATGTATAGAAATATGGGTAAACTATTGACCTTATTCTAAAATGCGGAAGTGCGCCTGTTTTCGCGATTGTCTTAGAACTTCCGATTCAGTCGCCTATGGAAGAAATGACTAGGAATAATAAACGGCAGAAAACGGTCAAACTACTTGCTCTACAAACAAATGTTTGCATGACTATACAGACCAAGTAGAATAATATGATAAGAAAATATCAAATTGCAACATCAAGCAGCGTAATGAGCAGTTTTTAACGTCAAAAAATGAACGGAAGTGAATGAGACCGGAAGTCTCAAGCCAAAAAGATTCAAATGGCAGCGCCCGCTCGTCGGCGGAGAATAAGGTGAATAGTTTGAGTACCAATTCCCACTAATAACTACTGGCTTATTATCTTCATTCTGTTATGATATTGGCTATTCATTACTCTTAAAGTATGATCTCATTCTACAGCCCTAACAGTTAATCCTACCAAATACACAATAAAATCTTAGTTAATGGTTTGTTGTTTACATGAATTACAAATTAGTTTGACCACAATATGTATACCTATTAATAAAACTTATTGTGAAATAATAATTGTATTTATTATGTATTATATTCTTCTGACGGTTATATCAAAAATGTTTCCCAAACCCAGTTGGTAAACAAACATATCTCATTTGAAAAATAAATTGTTTGTATTAAATCAATGTTAAAATGAAAGCAGCATAATTTACAGCAGTGTCTCTCAACCACATTCCTGAAGAACCACCAATCTTCTTAACCAAACACACCTGATTCAGATCATCAGCTCATTAGCAGAAACTGAAAGACCTGTAATGAATGTATCAGACAAAGGAGACAAATCAAAAACATGCAGTGCTGGTGGTCCTTCTGGAACATAGTTGAGAAACACTGATTTACAGAATTACGTTCTCTGATTGTGTAAATTACAGAAGAAACAAAGTCATTGCTCTTCTTTGAATTTTTTTAGTAGCTTTATAGGAATGCTTCTTTGTTGAATGCAGTGCTGCTTACTGATCTACACTAATACAACAGATCGTCAGCAGTGATTGGCCTGGCTTGTGATATCACACTTGGAGGAATTCTGAACCACACATTTTTACAGACTGCTTGTGATTTATGGTGATCATAAACAGAGGTGAGTGTTTTTTTTTTTTTTTTTACCATTGTAAGCTGTTTACATACTGTAAGTACAATATGCTTGTGATTATAAAACTGAATCTTGCATAGGACTGACATTTCCACAATCGGTCATGGTCAAGTGAAACGAAATGTTTTTAAAAACCTTGACTAACACCATAATTGGACCTCAAGAAAAAATGTCTCAAGTGACCCATATGATTTGAAAACACTGCTTCATGTGCTAGTAATAACATGCACTACTATATGTGACAGTGAAGCTTTTTCTGTCATCTCAGCCAGCTGTAAAACTTTCCCTTCACACTCAAGATTTCAGCTTTTATTGATTGTACGTATGTGGTCAGAGATGACACATTTAGATGCTATTTATAGAAACTGAGGTACAACACACTTGAGACATTGACCACATTTGATAAGTGATCTGTGTTCAGTCGTCTTCCCGTCTCATGTGCTTGATAGGAGAGATACTGCTTTTATGTCATTTTTGCTTACTGTTATAGATTTTTTTGATTTGCTGGTTTGAAATTGATGTTTGTTGAACTCTGGTAACCTGTCATCCCACTATCACTATAATTATCTCAGTGGGTTTGTCATGGCAACAAACATCGGAACGTCTTCAGTAGCATCGATTAACATTTAGTATGAAGTGACGCTCAGTTTATATGGTGCAAATGAGACACTTTGATGATAAACTCCTGATATAATCACTGAAGCTGCAAAATCTTGTAAAATACTCTATACACCAACAAACACATGAAAAGCAAGCTCATACATCTAATTATTGCACAAATGCTACTTAAACATTTCTATGAAATGATTGCTCATACATACAAACTCTTGAAGTGATCGTGTGTAGATACACTGTTAATATTTTTCTGTAGAATTTACAGTAACTTACTAGCAACAATTCGCCAGTAACTTACGGTAAATCAATTACAGCATATATATATATATATATATATATATATAGTAATTTTCACACTGCAAGTTAAAATACAGTAACATATCTGTCCTACAGTAAAATACGGTTTACATTACAATGAAATGCTGTGTCATTTATTAAGTGTATAGGCCTGTACATGACTGATTGCATATACATCTAAACTTGTAGTTTCAAATTAAATTAATACTCCAGTAATTATTACTTCTATTACCAATACCATTAATAATAAAATTAGTAATAATGATGATTGAAATGAATAATTTAAAATGAAACGAACAAGATGTGCTTTAACTGCAGACTGTCAGCTTTAATTTGAGGGCATTAACATTCAAATCAGGTGAACGCTATAGGAATTACAACAGTTTGCGTATGTGCCTCCCACTTGTTAAGGGTCCAAAAGTAATTGGAGAGAATAATAATCAGAAATCAAACTTTCACTTTGTAATTCTTGGTTGCAAATCCTTTGCAGTAAATTACAGCCTAAAGTCTGGAACGCATAGACATCATCAGACGCTGGTTTCATTCCTGGTGATGCTCTGCCAGGCCTCTACAGCAATGGTCTTCAGTTCCTGCTTGTTCTTGGGGCATTTCCCCTTCAGTTTTGTCTTCAGCATATGAAATGCATGCTTAATCGGATTTAGGTCAGGTGACTGATTTGGCCTTTCATAATATTTCACTTTATTCCCTTCAAAAACTCTTTGTTTGCTTTTGCAGTATGCTTTGGGTCATTCTCCATCTGCACTGTGAAGCGTCGTCCAATGATTTCTGAAGCATTTGGCTGAATATGAGCAGATAATATTGCATGAAACACTTCAGAATTAATCCTGCTGCTTTTGCCAGCAGTCACATCATCAATTAATACAAGAGAACCAGTTTCATTGACAGCCATACATGCCAACGCCACTACTACCACCATGCTTCACTGCTTAGGATCATGAGCAGTTCCTTTCTTCTTCCATACTCTTCTCTTCCCATCACTCTGGTACAAGTTGATCTTGATCTCATCTGTCTATAGGATGATGTTCGAGCATTGTGAAGGCCTTCATGTTTTTGAGGCTCACCAATGGTTTACATTAATGGTGAACCCTCTGTATTCATCTTGTTGTAGTCTTCTCTTGATTGTTGACTCTGACACATACAGTTCGCCTATCTCCTGGAGAGTGTTCTTGATCTGGCAAAATATTGTGAAGGGGGTTTTCTTCACCAGGAAAATAATTATTTGGTCATCCACCACAGATGTTTCTGTGGTCTCCCGGATCTTTTGGTGTTGCTGAGCTCAATGGTGCGTTTTTTTCTTTTTAAATGTTCCCAACAGTTTTTTTGGCCACACGTAATGAGTTTTTGTTTTTTAGCCTAATGATGGATTGCTTGACGGCTCTTCGGATCCGTTGAGAGTTGATAGTAACAGATTCCAAATGCAAATAGCACACTTGAAATGAACTCTGGACCTTTGATCTGCTCATTGTAATTGGGATAATGAGGGAATTACACACACCTGGCCATGGAACATCTTGGAAGCCAATTGTCCAATTACTTTTGGACCCTTAACAAGTGGGAGGCATATATGCAAACTGTTGGAATTCCTACAGCCTTCACTTGATTTGGATGTAAATACCCTCAAATTAAAGCTGACAGTCTGCAGTTAAAGCACATCCTGTTCATTTCATTTCAAATCCACCATTGTGTTGGTGTATAGAGCCATACTATAATAAACAAAAACAGAAGGCTTTGAATGAGTTGCATAACAATCCAAAACTACACACAGAAGCTATTTAAAGAGAAAAACCTGAAAATGTCTTGGAAAAATAACAACTGAATAATATATTTAGATGTGGTGACTGTAGTAGCTGAACAATCATCTCCAGTCTATTTAACTATTTGCTTCATGTCATGGGTGCATCACCATCTCAGAAGCACATTTATTTTACAATAATAAAACGGCCTGTCATCAATTATTTTTTGCATATGAACTGAGTAGCTTGTGCCTAAATACACCACAACGATAAGATCTCAGAATTAACCACAAACCAAGTTAAAACAAACATAACTGTCCTCCTCGTGCCGTGCTAATGACGGAGTTTAAGGGTAGATCAACTAGTTCTGCCAACATCATTTGTCAACATTCTGTTTTATTGTTGAATATGAAATTTAACTGATATAATAAAAGCAAGGCATATGTTGCCATCAAGGGCATATATTTGCACTTTACATGAGTGGGGACGGGTGAACACAAAAAAATTACTCACTTCATAAAATGTATTAAGTTAAATTAAATAGTCAGGGGGGTTAAAAGACCAAAAGTTGGATTATTATTATTATTATTATTATTATTATTATTATGTTTGAATTTTTCTTATTATTTAAATGGTCAACTTCTGACTAAGGAAATGCTGGCCAGTCAACAAGTTACTCTGAGAGATTAAGAGAACTGGCATGGGTAATATACTTTTACATGTGGCTGTTTATTCTGCAGTTAGTTTTCAGGGCGTATTATTCACCAACTCTATCAGTCTGTTATAACGTTAGACTGTGCATTAAAGCGGGAAAAATCATGAGCATTAACGCCATTATCGTGATGGACTCATTTAGTAGCGATCTTGGGCTTATGTGACTTAGACTCTTCAGGGAAAAATTTTGCCGCTGCCTTCCTCAGTTGTGTGTCACTCCACACACACCTTATTCTTGTTTTGGCACTCGCTGCTTGTATCTGAATGCACCTACAGCCTCTCACATGACGGCAGGGATAGGCGCAGCCAATCACAATGTTCATATGTGTTTGAGGGGAGGGTCGACTCAGAGAGAACATGATTTAACCCTTTCTGCATGTCTAGGTTAAAAAAAAATTTTATTCAAAGTTTATTAAATTATTGGTGGGGACATTTTATTAGTTGGCAGATATTGCTGGGAACGTGTCCCCTCTGTCCATGCTATATCTATGCCCTTGGTTGCCATCTTTAGTTTTTATGATCTCTGAGGGAGCAATCCCTCAAACCAATTTTATTCTTTTTTTTTTTCTTCCGCTTAGTCTCTGACTTATCAGAGGTCACCACAGTGGAATGACTATTCCAGCATATGTTTTACATAGGGGATTCCATTTCAGCTGTAATTTAGTTCTGGGAAACACCCATACACACTCAGATTCACACACACACACACTCATACACTAAAGCCAGTTTAGTGTATTCAATTCACTCGCATGTCTTTGGACTGTGGAGTAAACCAGAGCACCTAGAGGAAACCCTCGCCAACACGGGGAGAACATGCAAACTCCACACAGAAATACCAACTGACCAAACCGGGACTTGAACCAGCGACCTTCTTGTTGTGAGGCGACAGTGCTAACCACTGAGCCACCATGCCGCCTTTCAAAAAGTATATATTTTTTTATTTTTATATTATGAGAGATGCATTTTTGACCCTTAAAATAAAACATAAAAGTATGATAGAGCCGCATTAATGTGCTAAAACCCAGCTTTAAAAATTGTGCATCCATCATGTCTCAGAATGTGATCGTTTTGTTTTTCCCAGACAGGGTTTAAAATATTAATGACTGCTCATTATTTGTCGTTATTTGTTAAGCATCTATAACAGGTGAGTATCTGAATCCAAATCTGATCATTCAGTTTCCATGGCAGTTATTACCATGGCGATCTTCCTTGATTCATTTGGCAACCTCATTTGATTTGGAATTTCAGGTTGTTTTGTTTTGAATCTGCCTCTTCTCTTGGCATCAATAAGCCCCTGACATCATGACATTCAAAAGCTTTCCCTCTGCTGACATCTGTGTTGTGTATTAGAGGACCTCAAAACATTTTCACAACACCTTTCTGCCTGCGCTCACTTTCAGACATCTGTGCGTCAGCAAAGGAGTGACAGTTAGACCTGTTCGTCACAGGAAACTGCAAGTGTGGAGTAAATAAAGCCGCCTGCCTCCAGCGTGCACGCTAAAACACAGAGAGCACAGCAGCATCAACATCATCCTTCACCTCAGTCTAAGAACATCAGCTAACCATAACCCTAACCTGGGGGTAAAATCGCTCTCAGTATCTGTTTTCAGATGTGCATGTGAGGAGCTCTGTTTGCTCGTGCAGAAAGGATTATCATCAATTCCACTCTGAGGACCATGATGTGAGTGCCATACTTTGTTTTGTGAAATGTGATTTAACACAATTCTTGAGTTGTGTTTAGTTTACTTAAATTTGTAAAAAGATTTAAGTTAACTTAATCGATTTGTGTCGACAGCAAGTAGGAATTGTGTGGAACCCAGCTTTTTTTTTTACAGTGGATAATTGATGTTAAGTGTTTCAAAGATCGTGTGCTGAATATTTTTATATACTTGACCTAAAAAAATAATAATATTTGAGCCATTTCTCAGTGAATATAGGCAATGTGTTTTGGTGCATTTAAACAAAACAGACTTATTAAAGGTATTAAAGGATTTATTTATTAAAATATTATTTTAGTCACCAAACATCTTTAGAAACAGAAACAATGATGTTTAAATTAATGCAAAATATTGCAAAAAGTAAATACAAACTTCAAAATTGCAACTGAATGTCGTATATTTTTTTGTTTCTCTTGATTTTTGCTCTTTAAAAAAAAAATGTTTGTTTATATATTTATAAATGTATATATAAAGTCTCTAAGATATAAATTTAGGCTACTCTGTGTTAGACCGCTATCGCAAGTTATTTTGTTAGATTAGCTCCAGATTTTTCTTTAGTACAGACTAATCTAATGTATATGCACAAATATAGTATCATATAGCACCCAATAGGAAATATTAATTTAAATGAGACTTTTATCCCAATAATACAGTCACAGTCACTTTATTATTGGGAAAATGAACGTATGATTCCATCAAAGTTCTGAGGTGTTTTGGCACATTTGGTCTTCAGTATACTCTGAGATTTGTTTTTGTCTTTCTAATTTTGGATTATAATCTTTGTTTTTATTTCTGTTTTTACTCTTTAGCATTTATTTGCATTTACAAGGTACCAGTACCATAAAAATTACACACAAACCCCCCTCCAAAACATTTTTGGTTGAGAGAAAACTGGGAATGAACACTTTATATAATAAACTAATTACTAAACAAAAAGGGGGACACATGTCTGTGTGTGTCATGTAAACATGAGAAGTTCTGAACTTCAAAGTTGTAACCTTGAATCAAAGTCAGGATCGTCTTGAAAAGCGTGCTGCTCTTGCACAGAAGTCTTCCTTCAAGGGAGTTTTAAAGAAACGTGTGGCTTTGTGTGCCATTTTGAAATCTGTATCTGTCAGTGTGATAACAACATAAACGTTTCAAGTTTCAAAGTATTGATCAATCATTTTTTGCAATGATTTTTATCTTTATCTTTGATTGATGTCCTCTAAAACTTAGCTTTCTTTAGGCCAGGGCTGCCCAAACTCAGTATTGGAGGGCCGGTGTCCTGCAAAGTTTAGTTCCAATCCCAGTTAGACACACATGAAGCAGCTAATTAGGTTCGTTCTAGGTATACTACACTCTCAGAAATCAAGAGCTGTCACTGGGGTGGTGTCTTTTCAAAATGTACATATTTGTACTTAAAGGGTTCATATTGGTACCTCAAAGGTATATCTTAGTACCTAAAAATTTACACTTTTGTACTTTTTAGGTATTGATATGTACATTTGGGGTATTAATAAGGACCCGTTTGTCACAAATGTATATCTTTTGAAAAGGTACCTACCCAGTGACAGCTCTTGTACCTTTATATCTGAAAGTGTAGAAACTTCAAGCAGGTGTATCGAAGGAAGTTGGAACTAAACTATGCAGGACACCGGCCCTCCAGGACCAAGTTTGGCCATCTCTGCTTTAGACTATAGTCACTCAGTTTCACATTCGGTTTCTGTTAAAGTCCCTGTATTTCTATTAAATAAATTCTGCTGATTATTTTTCTAAACATTTTGCTGACTTCATTTTAGGGCTGAGAATTGAAATGTGTTCAGCAGAATAGTGTCACAGCAGTTGGAGCTCGAACCTTCTTGCCATGAGGCGACAGTGCTAACCACCGAGGCCACCATTTTGCCCTAATTCAATATTATTTACCAACATTTTAGTCCTCTTTGTTGCACATTTGAAACAAAACCTCTAGGCTTAAAAGAAAGCCATAACAAGCCCTATCTACAACAGGACGTTAGTAGCCTTGCTCTTATATTTGACTAAAATCTAGATATGATGTTAAACATTCATAAAAAATTGAGAAATTATCTATTTTTGAATGCGTACGTTACTTTGAACCCTTTAAAGGGCACACCTTGAAAAAATCTTTTTTGGCCCACATCTTGTATTAAATAATATACTGGCACACCTCTGATAAATAGTAATACGCAATTAAACTAATAATGATAACCTATGAGTAAAAGGTCAGCCAGGTGGTTATTATGCCTGACAAAGGGTTAACAGCTTTCTACTTTCATATTTAAAGTTTAATTCAATGTGCTTTCTTTGTAATGTTCTGTATATGTTGTACTCCATGATAGCTGTCTTCATATGTAATCAGTTACATTTGTGTTGTTGTGGTGTGGTGGGTATGAGGTCTGTAATTTGGACCTGGTGGCCCTGATGACCCAGTGAGAGACCCATCTGTGCCACCAGTTGACCATCTGCTCTGTAATGCCACATAGCTGTAGCATCAGTGCTTTGTTTTGCAATATGGAGAAATATTACTCTCAGAGCTCAGTATTGCGTGCTAATATAGCTATCGAGTCATGAGGATGTTGAAATCATAACACCGGAGACATTTTGTGCGTTCGTTATTTGCAGGGATTGAATTGAAGAGTTTAGATGCATAAAAACTCTTAATGCCGTCTGAAATTTTCCCCTAAAATGAGCATTTTTATCAGGCTCCTATTTGTATGTTTAGTAATATCACTTTTATTATTTATTTTCGATGGAAATCTCAGACGGCACTTAAGTTTTTGCATCTGAACTCTTCAATTATAGTTCTATTACAATGTAGTAAACTATGTAATAACATGCAACAGTATCAGCGCAAGGGGAGAAAAGCATTTGTGTTTGTTATCACGTCTTTTAAAGGCTTTACAGTGATTGTTTTTCACACCAACGCTGTGGGAAGGCAGTGGAAGATTAAACCTCTGCACTAAGTGTCTCTGCTATCATAATATGATTATAATACAATCTCGGAATGTAACCTGTAATTTGCATATGGAATCAGTTAAGTGTGGTTTTTTTTTTTTTTGTAAGTCAAAGGCAAGGCATTAATTATATATATATATATATATATATATATATATATATATATATATATATATATATATATATATATATATATATATATGTATATATATATATGTATATGTATGTATGTATATATACATATATATATATATATATGTATGTATGTATGTATGTATGTATGTATGTATGTATATATATATATATATATATATATATATATATATATAGAATTAATTTTTTTTTGTAAATTGTTGTTACATTAGCAAATTTATTTTATGCACAAAACTGGATTATCGCATAAAAGATATGTGAATAAAGCAGCGTTTCCATCTGACGAGTCAAAAGCGAACGAGTTAAAAGCGAACAAAATCGTCACTTCCTGATTAACTGCCATCAAATATCAGCAGTATAAACGGAATTTGCTGCAGGAGAAGCTGCGTGAATCTGCTCATTTAATGAATGACTTGCACCTCAGAAGACTATGAATACACGCAATAAACATGTGTTTGGTTCAGTAAAAGTGTTTCCATCGCAGTTTAAGCTTCTTATCCAATCTTATCTTATCCAATAAAAGTTTGTCCCACTCAGTTGTGCGTGTACGTTTTTAATGCACATTTTCTAAATGTATGCACATCTTGGCGTTTCCATCAACCATTTTTTAATGTGCATCTCCAAAATGTGCAAAAAATAGTTGATAGAAACGTAGCTATTGTCATTCTGCAAAATATATTTATTTAGAAATAAAGCAACAGGTATTTTGTCTTTTACATATTAACATATATATTATAAAATGTCATATTTCCAAAAATTATAACCTTTTGGTGAAAAATGGGTATATTTGAAAGATTGTGATAAAAGTATAAAGACTAGAAAAAAAAACAGATAATTAGTTTTTATGTGCATCTTTTAACATGTTGATACATTTTTCCTTTTAATTTTATAAAAAAATATACTGGTTCAGGAAAAAAGAAGATTTAACTAAGCATTTATTAAATCTATTTAATTAATTAAAAAATTCTAAATTTACCAGACATTAAAAGATTAATTTAAACATTAGTTTGATTCATTTATTATTTATCTTATTATTTATTACAATAGTAATTACAACTGGCTCAGAAAAAAAAGCAAAATACAGTCAGAATTATTACCCCCTCTGCAGAATTATTATTATATTTTTAAATATTTAAGAAAGAAAAAAATCAAAAGGGTCAGAATTATTAGTCCAAATAAAAAAATATTAGCCAAATATCGGGTTGTGTCATCATGGCAAATATAAAATAGATCAGTTATCAGAGATGAGTTGTTAAAAAATGTTTGGTGCTCTTTATGTTTGAGCAGAATGTTTCATGCAAATGTTGTTTACTTAAACAGGGCCTATAAAACTGTGATGTAACTGATTGTGACTAAAAACAGCAGAATGTTCTCAGCATTAAAGCAGATCTATTTTTAGATCGGCCACCCCATTTCTTCTTCTTTTTTTTTTTTTGGGCCATGTCTGTGATAATGAAAGTGTGGATGGAAAGTTTTCATCTTAGTACACAAGTGGTTTATCGACATCCTGCCACTTTGTTCAAAGAGTTGCATAAAGAAGCCATGGCTTGATAACTCACGAACATCAGATTTAATTTAATTTATTTATGTATATGTATTTTATTTTAATTTATTAAATCTCTTATTACTTTATTTATTTGTTTATTTTCAGGTTCAGTTCAATATAATAAAGTTTGTATTTATTTATTTTGCTTGTTTATTAATGTTTTTTATGTTGGTTTATTTATTTAAATATTTTACATATTTAAATATTGTATTTGAGTTATTTAATTTGAATGTATTTAAATGTCATTTTCTATTATTTCATTTGTTTAGTCATTGGTTTGTTTGTTCTCCCTGGCTCTCTTCTTTCAAATTATGGTATTTTAATTACATGTTTATATTTATTTATTAAAATTTTATTTGTTTCATTGTATTCATTTATTTTAATCTTTATTTTATTTGAATTTTTTTTTTTATTTGAATGTAATATTTTATTTGTTAATTCATTTGTTTGTTCTCTCTTCTGCCTTCAGATTGTTTTTTATTAGGTCAATTGGTCATTTAATTTTATTTATTTTTAAATGTGTTTTAATTAAATTGTTTATTTATAAAAATATTTGTTGTTAAATGTTTTTATTAATTTGTATATTTTTGTTTTCTTTACATTTGTTTATTTGTTTTAATTTATTTCTTAACTTAATTTTAATTCATTAAAATGTAATATTCTATTTATTAATTCATTTATTTGTTTCTTTGTTCTCTCTCTTCTGCCTTCAGATTGTTTTTAATTGTTATGGTAATTAAATGTCTATTTATTTATTTTATAATTTTTTTTAATTAAATAGTATATATTTATTAAAACTGTTTATTGTTTAATTTGTATTAATTTATTCGTTTTAAAGTTCATTTACATTTGTTTATTTATTTCAATGTATTTATTTGTTAATCTATTTAACTGTAATATTTTGTTATTAATTCATTTATTTGCTTATTTATTAGTTTGTTGTCTCTCTCTTCTGCCTTCAGATTGTGGTCCCCATCATCTCTGTGCAGGTAAACACTGTAGATCAGTATGGGCAGTCGGCCCAGTAAAGACCGGCGTGGATCCAATGCTCATGCTGTCCTGTTGGACACAGAGGACAGCAACGGCCCGCTGACCATGGGTGAGTACAGACACGCATCACTTTATACATGAACAACAGAAAAGCTGCTGTAAGAGAACATACGGTATGGTTTTACTACGAAAGCATTCAGTGGGTCTTCGCCCCAAAAATAAATATTTAGTTGCGATTTACTCTATTTATTACTTTACTTATTTTAGTGGTTCTTAAACTGAGTTTTTTTTTCTGTTGAACACAAAAGAAGATATTTTGAAGAATGTTGGAAATTGGTAACATTTAACTTTACAGTTGGACAAAATGCCGTGGATGTAGAAAGTAGAATACATGTGCAATGTCTAAAATCAGAACAAAACGACAAACTTTTAACAAACATGAAATGAATGAACAAATAAATGAATGCAGGGGGGATTTTTTTTTTTTTTTTTTTGTTTTTGAGTTTTTCAGCATAGCCTGACACAGTAAAAAATTAAAAACATACACAGAAAACACACATAAACATATGTATTACTGATTAGTGTTCAACAAGTCTAACTGACACTGGAATAAGGGAGTTTTGAGCCTACTCCACTTGCATTGAGACATTCTGTGTCTTCTGACTGAGGGTAAAAGATCATACCATGGGAAGAGTACATGAGACGGATCGCTCAAAATTATTTTCGCTTCATTCACAGTGCATTGCTCGTATCTATAGTCTAAGTGCTGGTAAAGGTTTTTAGTCCTATAAGCTTAATGGCCATTCTGATAGTTTTGATTTCCAATTTACAGAAAGATTGGCATACCATGTGGATACACCATACCTGATAACACTCTCACAATACAGACTGATGAAAAAGATACAAGATTTGTTTAATTAACACCATAAAAACCATAATCCACGCAAAAAATAAAGCCTATAATGGAGTTTTTTAATAGATCCAATTGACATGGGTGTCCCATGTAAGAAACTTACCATGTTTAGTGTTTTCCACCATAAAATCCCCAAAAATAAAATAAAAATGAATTTGTGTGATTACACACTGAATACTTGCATTTGACCTCTATCAAATAGATTAAAATGATAAAACACACTTTTTAGTCACAAACCTCATAGATGTTTGCAGTAAAATTGTGTCAAATATGATGTTAAACTATTATATCTACAGTCAATGTACAGGTAACTTTAAATAATGAGATCATGTATTTACTTTATTAATAATCAGACATCAACTGTTTACATGTAACATTAGTGAATGCACTCAGTTAACAAGAACAAACTATGAACCACTTTACTTCCGTTACCGAACATCAACAAAGAATAATTAATACTGTGTAAATGTATTGTTGATGTTAGTAAATGCATCATCTTCCATGAGTTAATGTTAGTTATGGGGTTACCAATTGTCTGTGTAATCTTTATCTTAAATAAATGTTGAGATACCAATAGCTAATATGACTGATGACTGACTGAAGTTGTGTGTGTGTGTGTGTGTGTGTGTGTGTGTGTGTTTGTGTGTAGAAAGTATCAGATATGTGCTGGTGTCTCTGTATGACTATCCATCCAGAGGTCCGGGCGACTGCGCCATTAGAGTCGGAGAACGCCTCAACATTCTGTCAGAGTAAGAGCACTGATACACAACACAACATGAGTCTGATCAGGGTTATACGTCTGATAATATAACGTGTGTGTGTGTGTGTGTGTGTGTGTGTGTTTGTGTGTGTGTGTTTGTTACAGTGAGGGAGAGTGGTTTAAAGTCAGCTCATCAGCCACAGGAAACGAGAGCTACATCCCCAGCAACTACACCGCCAAACTCTACAACAGGTGAGTAATCACAATCAGACTGTTGTGCTCTTTCCAGATCATTCCTACACCTCTATGCTTTGTGTGAATTATGGGAGTCACTTCTGATTAGGGATTTTAATAAAAAAATTAAAAGAAGTGTCTCTTAAAATTGGAAACGAGGGTTTCATTCTCCTCGATGCTAGCTAATCATTTAACTAATGTTATTTAGTCCCAGAACAAATGTCCAAATCCAGAACAAACTGACTTAAAATGAACAGAAATTAAACAAACAAGCTTGAAATATACAGTCAAACTTTAAAAGACCACTTATTAAAATTGACAAGTTACTTTCGGAAACCTGAATAACTTTCTGCGCAGTGACATTAGAGTTGCGTATAAAACATTATTGTGCAGAGTTTCTCAACCATGTTCCTGGAGTACCACCAGCTCTGCACATTTTCTATGTCTCCTTAACCAAACACACCTGATTGAGATCATCAGCTCATTAGCAGAGACTGAAAGACCTGTAATGGGTGAGACAAAGGAGACATCTAAAACATACAGTGCTGGGGATCCTCCAGGACGTGGTTGAGAAACACTATGGTATGCAAAAAAAAAAAAAAATCAGGATTATTAGGTTACGTTTAATTTATTTTAAACTTATTTACATCATTTTTACGATTATAACGCACAAAGACAACATACCTCTCTCTCAGTTTTCAGTATGTTTATAGATTATACCACAAGAGTGTCACTCATATAATAGTGAAGGAAGCCCCGCCTTCTAGTAAAGGAGCCAATCTTTCATTGATATAGACTCAAAGTGAAACGATTCTTTGACAGAGAGGCTGAATAGAGATGTGTGATTTTATGACCGTTTCTGCAGCTTCATTGTTATGAACCCTCTGGGGTTGACAAATGTACTGAATACTTGCCTCACAGACATGAGAAATATATAGATATCAACCTGGAAACCTCTACTTTTATACAAACCAACTACATTTGAAAACAAATGTTCTCTGGTTTTGCAATCTGTTTTAAACGAATGCCACACATACAGTCTTTCCCAGTCTGACCTCAGTGTTTTTAACGAATTCCCGCCTCCGTCATTCAAACGCAAATCACATGACTGGAACCACTTGAATGACGGCAAACCTGTAAATAAAGAAGCCGCTGTCATTTTGAAAGAAGATTTGCAGTCAGAAATACGTTGTAAATTACTTCAGAAGACTTTCAGTGTGATCAAACACAGCGTTTTTCAAAGGATGATATTGTGTCAGATATTCATTCTTCACATAATTTATAGAGGATACGATCAGATGGCATTCGGTCAATAAACTATTCAATTCATGTTTATTTCTATAGCGCCTTTACAATATACATCAGGGATCACCAATTTCCTGTGTCCTGCAGATTTTAGCTCCAACCCTAATCAAAGACACCTGAACAAGCTAATCAGTCTTACTTGGTTTACTTGAAACACTGAGGCAGGTGTGTTGAGGCGAGTTGAACGAGATTGGTGACCTCTGATATAGATTGTGTCAAAGCCGTTTAACATAGATGTTGGTTTTAATGGTCTTGTTCCAATTAGGTGTGAATGCACATTAGCTTGTGCAACCTAATGTGTTTTTGATCTGATCCATTTACATTTAGAAACTAAATTCATTAGCCAGTTATTCTTAAATTTCATTGGTGATTCCAAATCTGAAATTGAAATAAGCCAGCCAAACAGTCAAGCAGAATTTGATGTTTCTTCATTCAAAGAGATAGCAGCTGCGTTTACATGCATGCGAGGTGTTTCAAAGATGGCCGCTGAGTCAAATGACTTGCCTCGAAGGGACTTTCGTGCGAACCATAATCTGAAATGGAGTCGTCACATGCGAGAAGAGTGGCTTGCTTGACTGTGTGCATACATTATGACATCACACTATGGGTGGTCTGGCTGATGGTGTGGGTGACATCATGATTCCCCTAGGGGTGCTCTGCTGATGTCAGCTGTAGTTTTTCTGAGTGGGCTCAGCTGTTGTACTACAGTGAGGACACACCGTGACCCTCTTACAGAGTACTCTGCCTACTGCTTTTTCCTCTGCTCTGGTTTTGTTCTCATACACGTCACTCACATGTGTGTGTGTTCATGCAGGTGGCAGTTTGTGGGTCTCAGCAAACGGAAATCGGAGGAACTGCTGATGCTCCCTCATAATCAGCCCGGCTCTTTCCTCATCAGAGAGAGCGAGACCTTTCCAGGTACTGATACACAAATGACACAAGACACTTTGCACTTTTTCTATGAACTATACTCTGTCATCTAGTGCAGGGGTTCCCAAAATATTCAGCCCACGACCCCCAAAATAACAATGCCAGTGACTCTTGACCCCCAATATCCTCTGAGGTAGTTCTAAATATAAACCTTGCACACAACGGCGCACACATACCAAAAGTCTACTAATCAATTAATTTTGAAAAATCACTCGCAGACCCTCCTCTATGTTCAGTTGTGGCCCTTTATTTACTTTTAATGTTCGTCAGTGCCATAAAGGTGCTAAAGTTTAACATGGTGCTATAAAATCAACGTACTGTCTCTTTAATTTAACATAATCACCCCAGGGCTCGCAAAAAATGGAAAGGCTGATGGCTTTTTATTAGCACATTGTTTTTAACATAACTATTTCAAGCCATATTTTTCTTCTGTAGGTTATAGATAAAATATTAAAATATGGTCATTCTAATAGTTTAATAAACTGAATAACATTTTTGGAAATCATCAATTGACCTCCCCTCATTGTCCTGACCCCCACTTTGGAAACCACTGATCTATGAATTATTTAAGGTTGTTTTATCATCCTGCATTGAAACCTAGATAAAGTTGTTAACACAATGTGTCTTCTTAATATTTAAAATGTACTTTCTCTTTTTGGAGTGTTTGGTGTAAACGCACTCAATTCACACACCCTCACTTCATATGGTTTATTTTTTAACAATACTTATTGATACAGAATTGTTCGTTAATACACAAATGTGGTATTTTCCTACAGTTTAATTAACTATTTTTAATTTTTAATCCAATTTTCATCCAAAAGTCATGGGTGGGCTTATTTTTTTGTTTTATGCTGACTAACATCACCCAGGGGTCCGTTCTTTGTCTGTGGATTACTCAGTTAGCTGGATTTGTTTATTGACGATTTGACACTTCAGGATCATTTCGTTCTTCAAATCTGATCCGAGAGTTGTTGTCATAGCAACAGTTCTGGTAGCTCAAACCTGCTGGGAAGCAGGTTTATTTCATATAAACCGAATTAGATTGTGTCCGTTTAAGCAAAGGGAACACTGATTACACATTTGAGTATGTAACAAATGCTGATATTTTCCTACAGTAGTAGTTTTATACACTTGGGAAATATAGTAAATACATTTTTTTAACTATATATAAAGTTAAAAAAAAAAAAAAAAAAAAAAATATATATATATATATATATATATATATATATATATATATATATATATATATATATATATATATATATTAATATAACGTATGCAATCTGCACTCAAAAATAAAAGTACTAACACCTGGTGGTTCAAAGAGAACATTTATTGATATGAACTTTTTAGATCGCTTTAGTACAATTTGTGTTTAATAATAGACATGCACAATATGTGACTTCATTTTAAGACAATAATACATTTATGCAGTCGTGAACATGTTTTGACAGCTAGTATGACAGTGTTTTGATGTTTTACTAAAGTTGCAGACACCTTTACCAATATCAAAATGCTTTTGTAAACATCCAGTGATTCTTTACACCGATTAAGAAACCGGCTACTATAATACTGTCATGGTTACTATAATAAAGAAAATCCACTCTAACTGTAAACCTAATTAATTTGCTAAATACTTTTGCCACATGAAAGTGTAAAGCCTGCAGCCCACAACAAAGGTGGAAAGTTATTGCTTATCATATTTAACAAACTGTTTTCTTATGAATTTGATGTAATTTTGCTCTCATTTTTTTTTTTTTTTTTTTTTTTCAAACAAACTTTTATTTAGAAAAGAAGAAATTTACAATATAACTCAGGAAGTAATTTGTACAAGACTGGAATACAAGAATATACAATTACAAAGTTATAAGAATAATAACTAAAAAGAAAGGAGTAATAGAAAGAGAATAAAAAAAGAGAACGAAATGAGGAAGGGGCAGGTACAAAATTAAATAAAAAATAGATAAATAAAAAAAAATAAAAAATAGAAATAATTACAGAAAGCATTAATTATTTACACACTGGAAGCATGACATTTTCATAAGTTTCTATTAACTTGCAGAATTTCTTGTTGTTAGATAGACGAATAGCTTTAAGTATGGAATCAATTTCAATTAAAAAATGGGCAAACGAGGGAGAGGATTTCAGAAATTTTTGTTTGTGGATGAAGAATTTAGCATATAATATGAAGAAGTTATATATATTCTTCATTTTTGTTCTTGGGATTAGAGTAATAACATATAATTTCTTTCAGTTTAAAAGTTTGTTTTGTTGCTTGGGATTTATTCAAATAATTATATAAATCAGACCAAAACTTTTGTGAAGTTTTACAAGAAAAAAACATGTGAGTCAGAGTTTCCTCATTTTCCTGACAAAAGGAACAAGTATCTGCAATATCAGTAAATTTTGAGACTAATGCATTGACCGGGTATATTTTGTGTAGAATTTTAAAATGTATTTCCTTTGCTTTGTTTGGGATTACATATTTATATGGGAGAAGCCATGTTCTTTTCCAATTAATGTCCTCTATTAATGCTGACCAATATGATTTCCCTCTTGGAGCAATTTGATTTTTTTGTTGGAGAATTCGAAGGATAAGTTTGTTGTTGCACTTCTTATCATATACACTAATACCTTCTAATAATAAGGAGGGTTCTATGGTTTTTTTATTTATATACAAAATATGATTTTTTGTTAGATGTATTAATTCTTTTGGGATAGCATTTACAATTATGTTAAATTTCTTGAATGGTATTGGAAATTGATGAATTTTCATAAACTGCTCATAAGTTAACAAGTTCCCAAAGTCATCAAATAAGGAAAATACATGTAATATATCTCTGTCATACCAATTGGAATAAAATAAGGATTTACTTTTAACTGTAATATCAGTGTTGTTCCATAAAAATGTTTTATGCGGAGAAAAGTTATGAGAGTAGCATATTTTCCAAGCCAGTAATGCTTGCTGGTAAAAATTTGTTAATTTTATAGGAAGTTTATTTGGAGCAAAATTACATTTCAAAATAAATGGGAGACCGCCAATTTTATTAAACCAATAATTGGGAATAAAGAACCATATTGAATTTGAACTAGTTAAACATCTTTTAATCCAACTGACTCTGAAAGAATTTATAGAATTATTTATATCAATTGCTTCTAATCCTCCTTTGTCTTTGTTAAGTGAAATTAATGCCTTTTTTAATTTATGAGACTTATTTTTCCAAATAAAATCAAAAAATAATTTATTTATATCTTTTTTAATTTTATCATTAACAGTTAAGGATAATAAAGGATATACTAGGCGGGAGAGACCTTCAGCTTTTGATATAAGAACTCTACCGTAAATGGATAGATCCCTTTGTAGCCATAGATTTAGGATATTCTGAGTTTTTTTTATTCTAGAAGAAAAATTTAGTTTTTGTCTCTCTAAGTTATTTTTATTAATATATACCTAAATATTTAACCGTTTTTTTTACTGGTATACCATTTAATATCAAGTCATTGCAATCATACAGAGTTAAGATTTCACATTTATCTAAGTTTAAATGAAGACCCGAAGCATCCGAAAATGTTTTTATTGATTTTATGGCATCGTTAATTTGATAACTGTCTTTTAAAAATAAAGTGGTGTCGTCCGCCAGTTGAGAAATTTTTATTTCTCTTTCAAAAATATTTATGCCTTTTAAGTCTTGGTTATTAATAAGAGATATAGAGAGTAATTCTGTAACTAAAATAAATAAAAAAGGGGAAATAGGACAGCCCTGGCGGACGCCTCTTTCTAATGTAAATCTTTGAGATGTAAACATGTTAATAATAATAGAACTGGATATATCTTTATAAAACATCTCTATTACATTAATGAATGTTGAGCCAAAGCCAAATTTTTTGAGAGAGTGTAAAAGAAATTTATGTTCTATTGTATCAAACGCTTTGTAGAAATCAAGAAAAAAAATTATAGCTTTAGATTTAATAAAATCTGCATAATCAATTAGATCCAAGACCAATCTTATATTGTTACTAATATGTCTACCATTTAAGAAGCCTGATTGAGATTCTGTAATCATAAGATTTAATTTAGTTTTTAATCTGTTAGAAAATACCAATGCTAATATCTTATAATCTACTGTTAATAATGTAATGGGTCTCCAATTGTCGATTAAAAGTGAATCCTTTTCTGGTTTTGGTATTAACGATATGATTCCTTGTTTCATAGTAGTTGACATTTCTTTTTCAGCAATACATTCATTATACAGCATTAATAATATGTCTTGTATTAAGTACCAGAAGTGCGTATAAAATTCTACAGAGAACCCATCAATACCTGGGGATTTATTTTTTTTCATAGAGAATAGAGCAGTCTGTATTTCTTTTTTAGTTAAATCATCATCACAAAAGTTGGCAAAATCTTCATCAATCATGGGTATGTGTGTATCAATTGTGTGAAAAAATTCTTCACATTTATAAGCATCAAACTTAGATGAGTAAAGATTTTTATAAAACGCGGCCACGAAAGATGAGATTTTACAAGGATTTGTACAGGTTGAGCCCTCAATATTAAGAGCAGTAAGCGAATTTCTTTTATAATTTCTTTTCTCTAGTGCAAAAAAATAACTTGAGTTAGTTTCACCCTCTTCAAGCCATTTAGCTCTTGATCTGATATAGAAACCTTTAGCTAGGTCAAAAAAAGCATTGTCTAATTGAGCGTTTAAACTTTTTAAGAGCAAATCTTCATTAGGGGTCAGTAATTTTGCTCTCATGTATAATTGAACATTAATCAGATGATGTCATTACCCTGCTGTGCCGTCAGCCAATCATTGCATTGCTGATCATGATTTTAAAGATTGATAAATCTGTTCTTTACAACACATGCAGCAATCTCAGATCAGTTCATCCAGACATTTTAATCTGATTCATGAACTCGTTTGAAGAACCAAATTAGCCAGAGATCAGTTATCAAGATTAAAAGATCTGGGATCTGCCAAATCATCTTAGATCATTTAAGCGAGGTACGAAGAATGGACCCCTGATCACCATGGCACCTACATTGCAACATGTTTACTACTATTCTTTAAGTCCACGTAAACTAAAAGTTGCTGAGGCGTTTATTTCATTATGACGATTTCCAACAAAAAATTAATATTGAGTAGGGGGCGGGGCTTACATTTTAAATAATCATTTCCTCATAGCTAACTAACGGTAAGAGGGGCGTGGTTAAGTATATTGTGTCTGAAGTTGTCAAAATGACAGCAACAGTAAAGCACCACCACTTCAAACACGAAAGCAAATTTTGATTAAAGATTACCAAAACAAACTGTTTTCAGTGGATTAACTTGCAGAGATTACCTGTTCGCCTAGAGAATAACAACATGCGCTGGCAAAATAGCATTCTGAATACTATAGGAAAAGCACAGCAACATCCAGATCATCCTAGCAACTTGTTAACTAACATATTGAGTGTCTCGAAAACAGCACAGAAACCACCCACAACAATATAGAGAAACGTAACATTCTTAATACATTATCAGCTGCATACCAACCAGCCAGAACACACTAGAAACCGCACAGCTATGTATTAAATACCATTCTGAATACATTATCAAAGCATTCACCCAGAACACCTTAAGAACAGCATAGCAACATGTTGAATACCATCCTGAACACATCAACAACTGGAAAGCAACCACCTAGAATGCTCTAGCAACATTTGTCTTTATTTTCCCTCTCTAGGTAACTACACTCTGTCAGTGCGCAAAAGCGGCTCACAGGAGCGTGCATCTGTCAAACACTACCGCATCAGCTGTATCGACAACGGCTGGTTCTACATCTCTCCTGGACTCACCTTCAGGACCCTCTCAGACATGATCGCGCACTATTCAGGTACAGTACACACTAACACACACTTCATTGACACTTATTGCCTGGGTCATTGCTGGATGTGTGCATGACACTGATATAACGCAATACCAGTGATGGACAGTGACAAAGTATTTTACTTCAGCTCAGATACAACTCAGTGAATCTTCAGTTAGCAGCTCGCTGATACAGATGATTTGGTCTGAATGATGACGAGTCTTCCAGTTAATGACTCACTGATTCAATTAATATGGTTGGAACTAGTCTCCACTCAAGTTAATGATATACAGATTAAAATAATTCAACCAAAGTTAGTCTTCTAGTTATTGATTCAATGATTCAATCAATTTGGTAAGAACGAGTCTTCACTCCAGTTAATGACTCCCCGATTCAATCTATTTGGTAAGAGTTAGTCTTCCAGTTAATGACTCACTGATTCAATCAATTTGGTAGGAGCGAGTCTTCACTCCAGTTAATGACTCACTGATTCAATCTATTCAGTAAGAGCGAGTCTTCCAGTATATGACTCACTGATTCAATCAATTTGATGAGAGTGAGTCTTCACTCCAGTTAATGGAATACAGATAAAAGTAATCCAAATCAGAGTGAGTCTTCCAGTTAATGACTCACTGATTCAATCAATTTGGTAAGATTGAGTGTTCCAGTTTATGACACACTGATTTACTCAATTTGGTATTAGCGAGTCTTCACTCGTTAATGGTTTACAGATAAAAGTAATCCTGTTCAGAGTGAGTCTTCCAGTTAATGACTCACTGATTTAATTCTAGTAAAAGCGACTCTTCACTCCAGTTAACGACTCACTGATTCTATCAACCTAGTAAGAATGAGCCTTCAAACCAGTTAATGGCTCAGTGATTTAATCAATCTGGTAAACCATCAGTCTTCACTCCAGTTAATGGTATACCGATTAAAATAATCCAATCAGAGTGAGTCTTCTGAGAGTCTTCATTAATTCTTCATAGAGAAATAATGACTCATTGATTCAATTAATTCAGTTGGAGTGAGTCTTCAGTTTAACGATTTACTGATTTAAGTGAAGATTCGGATAGAGCAGGGCTGCATTAGTCCAATTTGTATGCCCTTCAGGCTAACTTCCCTAGGTCTTGTTCCCTGTGTACAGTGTTGATTACGTCAAACAATTAGAATGCCCTAAACCCTTGAGCACTAGGAAACTTCACCGTTGTTATGTCACAATCACATTCCATTCTTGGACATATAACTGCTAGAGTGGACATTTAAAGCAGACTAGCTAAAGACTTACCTAAAATCAAGTGATCGTCCATGTAGGGTTCACTTAATGAAGTGAAACTCGCTTCAAAATGGTACTGGAGACTTCCTCAAGGGAACAAGTGAAGGGACATTCATGCGTTTACAGGTTTAATAGTGGACTAGAGCACAGTATCTGTATTTTGACCGTAGTCATTGATTAATTTCATTCACAACTGGATAGAGGAAATGGCCCATCTTTTTACTCTCCCTCAAGTGTTTCCCAAACCTTTGAGTTTCTGTCCTCTGTTGAACACAAAAGGTACTCTGAAGAATGTTGGAAGCCAGTACTCATTGACTTCCATAGTATTTGTTCTTCCTACTATGTAAGTCAATGGCCATAGTAGGCCAATGGCCAATAACATTTTACTCAAATATCTTCTATTTTGTTAAATTCCAAACATCTTTGAAACAAGTTGAGGGTGAGTAAATGGTGACAGGATTTATGTTTAGGTGAACTATCTCTTTAAGCATGAGTTTCAGTAGCAAAGCATGTGTGTGTTGTGGCTGGAATGTAATAGTGAACTGTCCTTCAGAAGTATCGGATGGGTTGTGCTGTACTCTCGGAGAGCCGTGCTTCATCATCGGATCCAACAATGTCCCTGTGGTCAATGGCGCTCCTCCGGTTGCGGTGAAAAGGCCAACTATCAACTGGAAAGATGTTGACAGGTGCGTCAAACACGCCACAATACAAGTTTCCAAAATAGCCATGTATCCATGAACACATTTTTGTGCACATTTTAGCCTAATGTGCATAAAATAATGCTGAATGGAAACTCCAGACTAAAAGTAAATACTAAAAATGTACATAATATATGTGCACAAATGAGTCTGATAAATAAACTACAATTGAAACATTTACTAAATATATTCCTTGGCACACTTTTTTTTTTTTTAAGAAATAGGCTAATTTTACAGCTCCCCTAAAGTGGAAACAGTTGAGTTTGACCATTTTTAATCTTTTCAGACTCTCTACAGCTCTGGTGGTAGCACTTTCAGCTTAGCTTAGCATAAATCATGCAATCAAATTAGACCATTAGCATCTTAAAAATGTTTCAAGCTTTTTCATATTTAAGGCTTTACTCTTTCGTACATTGCTGCTATACCATGACTGCCGCAGATGTAATATTACGCAGCACCTGAAAATAGTGCCAGGCATGATAATATGCAGTGTTGTTACCTAGTTACCATGGTGCCTACTGCAGCCATGGTACAGCAGCAAATTACACCAGAATGAGTACAGTTCTGATACATTTTATTATTCGTCAGTCTTAGTACACAATGTAACTACAGAAGTCAAGCTTTAATAGGGTAACTATCAGAACTTTATTTTTGAGAAAGATGCTAACGGTCTAATCTAATTCAATGATTTACGCTAAGCTAAGAGCTCTCCCTCCAAACCTAGAGATCAGCTGAACAGATTAAAAACATTTAGACTCAACTTTTGAACTGGAAGGCACTCATAAAACAAGAATATTAAAAAAAAAAAAAATGGAGTGTTTCAAAAGTGAATTCACAATTAAACCCCTAATGTTGCACTGGCGCTCTCATATTAAAGCTCCTTCAAATCTCTCTGTGCAGCTCCATGATCTTCAGTCAGACTAAAGAAGGAGCTGAGGATTCTCTGGTGAGCGAGGGCCTGAAGGAAGCCATCAATTCATACCTCTACATGACGGAGAAATGCGAGGACTGCTGTCAGCTCTGGGAGACGTGACAGGAGAAAGAGCGAGCGTATAAAGGACTTTCGCTCGTCTGTTTCTTAGAAGATGAGCGCAGAAGCGGTTTGGGCGTCGGATGAAGTTTTCCCTGACTCATTACTGTTCTTCTAGAGTGGGTGCTGGAGATGTCAGATGTGAGACTCGTCCTGAAAGAGCCACAGAGGAGTGTGTGTGTGTGGGTGGAGGAACAGATGGAGGTGGTGCATCCACTTACACACACTTGTGACGCATTTACATGAGGCGGCATGTCACTGGAAGACCAGAGAAGCTGTACTTACAGTATCAAGGAGATATTGGTCGATGTATCGCTTCAATTGGAAAAAAGAATGTATTTATAACTTGGAATTTTTGTTTGTAAATAAATGTACAGTTGTCAAATATCAAGTGACTTTTTGAAATTGATGAGTTTCTCTGGATATACGAGGTTTGAGTAGTATTAAAGGGATAGTTCAAGCAAAACTCAAACCAGTTTTGTTTTGTGGAACACAACAGATATTTTGTAGAATGTTAGAAACATGTAACCATTGATTTTCATAGTTTCATAGTTGTATGTCCTACTATGGAAGTCAATGGTTACATATACCTAACGTTCTTCGAAACATCTACTTTTTGTGTTCAACACAAGTAACAAACTCAGAGGTTTGTAACCACTGGAGAGTGAATCAGTGACTTTATATGGATATCAATAATCAAAGAATTTGCCTTAATCTGATTAAGACTATAAATAAGGCGATAACACAAGTTACTTTTGAAAGTTTCTTCCATGATTCTGTTTTACATGTTATAGCAAATAACTCAACGTGATTGCTATTCATGTTTCCTCTAGAGTTTCATGTAATTTCAGGCTTTTAATTTTTTGACTTTAACTGCAGTTTCTCACTTTCACTTTCATTCAAATTAACATTAAATTGTTACGATGCTTCTAAACACATCTACAACTAGCCCAAACGTTAATCACACTACTACATACAAGCCATAACTAAAACACTACTATACGAGGCAATGCTACAACATTGTCTCAATACAATGCTTCATTTTGCACACATCTGCTGTTTTATTTATGATCAGCTCTCCTCAGCTCTTCTGACAGGTCTTCAAATGAGTCGTTCGTTCACCTGACACTGACAGTCCCGTATAAGCTTAACTAATAAAAAATAAATCAATAATAAATTACAATGTATAGGCTAATATAATTTCTCAAAAACAAAGTTAATTACTTTAATTTGTTTTTTTTTCTCTTTCTTCTTTAAAATGTATTCTGCAGATTGGTACAATATCTCCGTTTTCTTAAATCAATAGTTAACCCTTTTTGAAACCAATAAAAATAAATAATTCAACTAAGTTTAAAAAAATGCAATAAAAAGCTTACAGTCTGAGCCAGAAACACCCATGATTAGTTCACCTTTTGAAGCGTTCGTTCATCATGTGACTATGTAAAGAGATAACGAAACGGAGAACTCGAGAAATGAATGGATCAAATCTTTTTTCAGCTCTAAATGCATATGACTGGCTTCTGTCTCTTATGAGAAGAACGAACGACTCAAACCCGATAGAGGACTACGATGAACTAACCTCCTACTCCACCTGCACAAATGTGCGCATGTGCAAAGAACGAATTACTCCCTGAGAGGTCTCATCTTTCGACTCGTATAAAAGATTTTTTTTAAAATAAACAAATGCTTTAAGACCGATCCAGTGTGACAATGAATAATTGAATGATCGGACTGGTGGAAGAGTGTTGTTTTAATAGACCTTAATAACGCATGCCGAATGGAAAGGGAAAAAAAAAAAAAGTCTCAGCACTTCGCAATGCAGGTGTATTTGTCCTTTTACTGACTCAGTAGGTGGTGGACTATCCTGTCGCAAAACACAGTGAAAAGTCCTTCATGACAGGCAGTAATAGTTTGATAAAGGTGCTACATGTCTTCAATAATGCCACTGAAATCGGCATACTTCACATCTTAATTCCATTTTTGTTTAGCTCAATTATGACCTTAATCAGTTTTAATTAGTAAAAAAAATGCTGTTTACATGGTAGACTCTTAATCAGAGTATTGTTTTAATCGTATTAAAATCATATTATTGGAGTCCATATAACCGTACTAAATGTTTTTGATGAACTGTCCCTTTGGGTTTGTTTTATTCTAAGATCTGAAAGCATGTCTTCCATATTTTAAAATGGCTTTATTGAAATATTTAATGCTTCTAAAGTTAAAACTTTGCTTTTGTTTGCTCTAAAAATCAATATAAAGTCTATTAAATATAAACAAGGCACTGTTTTGGTATTTTTATGTAGTAAAAGTGCTAAAAATAATTACTATGGCGTCATCGGCACAATATTTTATTCTAAACAAATATAGTAATATAAATTGTAAATCAAGAGAAACATTCATATTGAATTGCTTTAAAGGTCATTTCGCCCATAAATGGAAACTATCCACTCCCCTTCGTGTCAACATTTTCAATATTTGGAACTTCCCAATTAACTGTCTTTGTACTTTTTTAAGAACATAAATGTCAAGATATTTTCAAAAGAATATGGGGATTTGTCTAATACATAGTCAATATCATAATAAACAATATTAAGATATTTAGTGTGCTTAATATTCACTTTTGATGCATCTTGTGTGCCATCACTTGAATGGGTGTTAAAAAGCATGACTGTGGTGTGTGTTTGTAGAAGCTGACAAAAGCATTTTAGTGAAGTGTTTCCTGTCAGTGTTTTCACCTATTGTTGCAGACCGCAGTGTTGAGCAGCAGGAAGTGAAGATGTGGTTCGATCTCAGCAGAGACACGTTTATACCTGGCATGATCTGAAAAATAAACTCTCAAGAAATTTAAGGTTAGAGTTGAAGGATTTAAATAAAAATGCATGTTCGTTTCTTCTCAGCATCACTAACGACATTTGTGTTGCATTGGAGATTTCCATTATATAGAATAGTCTCCAGCGGATGTTTGTGTCTTTGTACATCTACAGTGGCGCGCTTGAGGAAACATGTAGAGCTCAGTTATGATAAAGTGCCCCCTGTAGACGTAGTGTTTATTTGTAGTAATTGAATCAGCTAAATAAGGCAATAAAATGAGTTTACAGATGTAGCACTAACTTCTGATTTGGTAGCACAGCACATGCAGAATCACATATATCTGGTCACACTTTATTTTAAGTTACGTTTCTTACTTTAAAACTATTAACAAAGTATTTTAAATAAATTAATTAGCTACTCATTAGTAGGAAGGTATTAGTTAGATTTAGGACATGAAGGACTAGTCTAGTACAAGTAAAAAGTCAATATCTATCTATCCATCCATGGATTCATCAGTTAATGGATGCATTGACTATGGCAGTCAATGCATTCATCCATCCAGTAAATGCATCTATCTGTCTGTCCATCTACCCATCCATGGACCAGTCAATGCATCTAATCATCCATCTATCCATCAGTCAATGAATGCAACCATCAATCAGTCCGTCTGTCTGTTCATCCATGCATCTATCCGTCCGTGCGTCAGTCAGTCAATGCATCTATCTATCCATCCACCTACCTACCTACCTATCCATGGATTCATTAGTCAATGAATCCACCCATCCATCAATGCATCTATCAATCCATCCATCAATCTACCTATCCATGGATTCATTAGTCAATGAATCCATCCATCAATGCATCTATCTATCCATCCATCAATCTACCTGTCCATGGATCCATCAGTCAATGAATGCATCTATCTAAACATCCATCCATCCAGTCAGTCAGTCAGTCAATACATCCATCTATCCATCCACCCATCTACCTTTCCATGGATCCATTAGTCAATGAATGCATCCTTCCCTCCATCAATCAGTCAATGCGTCCATCCATCTATATATTCATTCATCCACCCATATATCCAACCAATCAGTTAATCCATCAATCCATCAATCTACCTGTCCATGGATCTATCAGTCAGTGAATGCATCTATACATCTATAAATCCATCCAGTCAGTCAGTCAGTCAATACCTCCATCTATCCATCCATCCATTTACCTTTCCATAGATCCATTAGTCAATGAATGCATCCATTCATCCATCAATCAGTCAATGCGTCCATCCATCCATCCATCCATCCCAGTGATATTATTAATTATGCAACTGTTTAGATTACAAATTATACACAAGCAATATGTTCTGTCTCAGTGGATGTATTATGTCAGACCTGCTGTAGCTTTGTAATTGGATTTTTATTATTATTTGTGTGTATTTTTGTATGGGTTAGGTTCTCAGCTCATACAATCAAAATCTTTTGCGTTGAATTTTGAGTTGTGATTTTATTTTATTTTTTACTAAATTCTGTGCAGAAAAGAAATAAAAGTACACAGATTGTGTCAGGCAATGATAATAAGCCAGAAAGTAATAGTGGGAATTGGGTCAATTACCGCAACTGCTCTTCCCGAGTTCTGTGTTCAAATCCCTGCTTGTAAACCTTATGCAATACTATCTCACTTTCTCTAACTTCGCTTTCTGTCCATATACAGTCCCATCAAGAGCAAAAACCCAAAGATAAATATATAACAAAAAAAAACAAACAAAAAAACACATTGAGAGAATTGGTACTGAAACTGTTACCTTTAATCTTCATGGCACCAAATTAACCTTGACCATAATCAAGTTTCTCCAGCACAAAAAGATTGAGGAATAAAACGAAAGATCAAATGAACACTTGTGCACTTAAACAGGAGAACAATCTATTAAAATCGCATTTTAATGAAACATCAAACTCCACAAATTATTGTATACAAGCAGAAATGGTTCATTGAGGAACACTGAGTGTATTCTAGGACACTTTTAAAGAGAGAGAGAGAGAGAGAGAGAGAGAGAGAGAGAGAGAGAAAGAGAGAGAGAGAGAGAGAGAGAGAGATCAAGCATCAGACCTCTATCTCTTGGGCCAGTTGTGCCGAAATCCTCTGCAAACAGAAAAATACCAATCAATTAAAAATAATAATAATTATAATAAAAATAATAATAGTAATAAAGTTGAAAGTAAATTCAGCTATGAATGTTTGAGCGTTACACTACCTGTCAGATTTGGCGGGAACATAAGACATGCTCCGGCCTCCCCCTCCACCCTTCTTCTGTCCTTTTAGGTTTTTCTGAGGCAGAATTGGTTGAAAATTAGAAGTCTTGCTAAAAATGTCCATCATAAGTGGACGACGCTAACAACTGGTGAAAATGGGGTGTAATGGCTTCAGACATACTTTTACTTCCAGATGTAATCAAATCAATTTCAACTGTTTACATCATTTTTTTACTGCATGGTACAGTGCGGTTCAGTATGACCCGATTTTCTTCGGCTTTCCGTACCCAGTTCATTTTTAGCAACATCTCAGGTGAGCTTACAAGT